TGTCTGTCTGTCTGTCTGTCTGTCTGTCTGTCTGTCTGTCTGTCTGTATATATATATATATGTATTGAAATTGAGAATTTAAAAACGATTAATCAAAATCGGTTAAATTTAAATGTTTGTGCTCTTTATTCGAGCTGCAGCATAAGACAGCAGACTGAAGAATAACGGTGTGACTGAGTTCAGGCCTCCTGCAGAGCATTCTGGCACTTGAGGCAGAGGCGTCTGTATTGCTTAATCTTTGAGCTCGGCAGACTGAAGATGGCATTTAAATTCTGAATTATGACAGCTCCCAAAACTGCAAAGCCAAGATATTCCCAAAATGAGTTTCGCCAAATTGCAAAATGTGCTTTGCAGCCAGATTGTGCTGAGCGGTGTAAATACGAGCACCGTACAGAGTTTACGTGGACTCACTTTGTGCACCATAAACTTTCCATCTGTTGCTTTTTGGGAGTTTTAAGAGAAATGGCATGGATCATCACAAACACACTGTAAAGAATGAATCTTAGTTCAGAGGAGGATTTTCGAAAATAATGGCATCTTTTTACCCAACGAGTGATGAGTTTCTTGATGGAGCTACAGCAAATATTTGTATTTGCTGTTTAGCAGCACATGTTAAAGATCTCACATGTCAGATGTGAACTCTTTAAAAAAAAAAGAAAAACAGTCAAATCTCATTTAAATTCAATGCCTGCCAGGTGACTTTGCGCTGCCGGTGAGAGAGAGTTGCATTTTTTCTAATCAGAGACATGTCCACCATTAGAAGCTGAAGGGTGTTGGCACATATAAAGCTTCATCAGCATTTAGCTCGACTATGAGACACAGACACGTATTTTTCCAGCTGGAATTACAAAAGCTGACAATGATTCACCAGAGAACACCTTCTCTTTGGATGAAGACTTTTAAAATCTTTTAGACATCTTTACACAGAGAAAACTAACAAGCACGGCATCTTCCTATATTCCCACAAAATGCCCCTTTGTCAAATGTCACCTTATCACTTCACCTGTTTATACATATTTATTTTGATTGGTCAGCACACTGTGCTAACTTGCACATGCATGGCTGCATGTTGTGTATACCAATAGCTAATACCTCCATTTTACCTGCATGTTGTTGCATTTGGTATTTGATGCATTTTTGCATTGATGCATACACTTACACACTTTTGTGGTCCAGCTGAACTCCAACTAGGCAAACCTTTGTGATCTCAATGGATGGAGTGTGTTTATCTACTGTGGATGCCTGCCGTGCCTTAACCTTTATCAGTGTTTACTGGGTGTGCTCGCTCGCCAACAAGGAGCAGAAAAATGAGCAGTTAGAAAACACACAATGCCAAGTTGTACAAATGCTAGTATTGGCTTCACTGTTGAACTGCAAACTTCAAATTTCTTTGAAAAAAAAAAAAACGTATCAGAACTACCCTTTTACAAATTCTTGAACTTGTGAACACAGTGAAAATGAAATATTCAGTGTTAAAAATTCAAATGTTAGCTTTCTCTTCTGTCTGTTTGTTTTTCAGTTTATACCCAAACCGGTTTCAGCTGCCAATTTCTTTACTAAGGACCATGAGGTCTAAAACACTCCAGAAAACTTCTGCGTAACGAAGAAGATTTTAAAATGTTATTTGCTCTATCAATTAGCATCAGGTTCCCTCAATCATTAGTTAGAAACTTACATTTAAATAAAAGAAGATATGTGCAGATTTGGTACTAAAGAGTTGATGACGTTTTACTTTTCAAAAAGTGTTGTCTAGTGAACTTTACCTAAGTTAAAAGGTTTCACATTTCGAGCCAGTCAGAAACAAACTAAGAGCATTTTTTATTTATTTAGTCTCACACCATCACTGCCACACATGCAACGGTCTATATATTTTGGTAGTGCCGATGTAAAGATAATATTGTTTTGCCCTGATCTCTCTGCTGAGGGTTGAAAATACCACTGTTGCCATGAAATACCATATTCATAAGAGACAAAAAAAATAAGACGGTTTTCTCCTTCTTCTGTTGCGTGGTTAATTGATTAAGCTGATATTCATCTAATCAAGGGTGAGATAAGAGAACAGCAAGCCAGATTGTGTATATTTTTATCTATTTGGCAAATACTTGGCAGGAATTGCAAATGAGATCACGCCAGAGGAGGCTCCAGTGGCGCAATCGGTCAGCGTCGGTACTTATAAGACAGTATTCTGAGAGCTATGCCGAGGTTGTGAGTTCAAGCCTCACCTGGAGCATCTATTCTATCAAAAGATTCAATTTGTTGTCTGTGGATTATGTTTTCTTCCCTGTCATCTTAAATCTTGGATCTCTTTTTCTGTGTTAGTCTGTTACCAAGTTTAGATTTGGGAATGTGAATAAATCTGATGTTAGTTTTGGTCACAATATATTTAAAATATTTCTTCTTCAAAAAATACCATGCACCACGTGCACAACATGTAAATTAAACAGAAACATAACAGATGCTCCAGGTGAGGCTTGAACTCACAACCTCGGCATAGCTCTCAGAATACTGTCTTATAAGTACCGCGCGCTGACCGATTGCGCCACTGGAGCCTGTGTCAATTTGCAAAATGCTTTTCAATTTGGTTACAGCAAAAAATCCAACTTCGATCTGAAATTACACTTTATTTCTACCAGCACAGGTGTACTGATCACATTTTCTAATCACTGGAACTGCTCCAGCTGAGGCCTAAACTCACAACTTTGGCATTGCTCTATAATGTACCGCCCTATAAAGGTTACATGATCAGGAATTGGATATGGGATGACAGTGTGGGAGGCTCCAGTGGCACAATCGGTCAGCGCGCGGTACTTATAAGACAGTATTCTGAGAACTATGCCGAGGTTGTGAGTTCAAGCCTCACCTGGAGCATATATCTTATCAAAAGATGCGATTTGTTGTCACTGGCGTATGTATTCCTGCTTATGTCATATTAAATCTTATATCTCCATGTGATCTGTTACCATGTTAACATTGGGGAATGTGAATAATTCTGATGTCAGTTTTGGTCACCTCACAATACATTCAAACATTTCTTCTTCAACAAATATCATGTGCTTATCAATTAAACAACAATGTAGTAGATGCTCCAGGTGAGGCTTGAACTCACAACCTCGGCATAGCTCTCAGAATACTGTCTTATAAGTACCGCGCGCTGACCTATTGCGCCACTGGAGCCTGTGACACTGACCACATTTTCTAATCATTGACACTGGAACTGCTCCAACTGAGGCCTGAACTCACAACTTTGGCATTGTTCTATAATGAAAGACACGATTTGTTGTCACCACTATGTTTTTCTCCTCAACTAATTGGTTATGTTACGTGATATTGAACTTTGGATCTCTTTTTCTGTGTTCGTTAAACAACCATATGACCACATTTACATTTGGAAATATGACCTCATGATACAATCAACTAAAACATTTCTTCCACAAATACCATGTGCTTATCAATAAAAGAAATAGCATAGTAGATGCTCCAGGTGAGGCTCGAACTCACAACCTCGGCATAGCTCTACAGTGTACTGTCCTATAAGTACCGCGCGCTGACCGATTGCGCCACTGGAGCCTGTCAACATACAAAATGCATGGATCAGAAAACTGCGAGTGCTTTTTAATATTTGTGTTGACCAGAGACAGATTTGTGACTTTCTTATGTTCAACAATCACACAGAATGCAAATACTCACGTGAAAGTTTTGTTTCATATGAATACCCATTATCACCCATTACTGAATAAATCGGAGAGAAAATGAAATAAAAATTATCTTTACGGAAAGACACTTTATTTCATAAGTATACAGTATTTTGCAACACATCCACACCCCTCAGATGAATAGGATTGACAGTGGGCCTTTTCATTGTGTGCCTGGACAAATATGTTGTCAAATGAGATACCAAAGTATCAAGAAACATTTACTAACTTCCGCCTCCAGTTCACAAATAATCAGACGTTTACAAACTGATCCCATTTTATCTGACATCTTTTACAGGAAGGTGGCCTCCTGAAAGTGTCTCCTGGTCTCAGTGGTTTTTCAGCCATCTGTCCGGCTGTGGGCTCTACCAGATGGTGCGTTTGACTCCGGCCCAGATGGAGCGTTTGTAGCCCTGCGCGGCTCGGACGTCGTCCCAGTGCAGCTTGGTGTTTGGGATCTCGTCGGTGGACTCTGGGCTGAGGCGCGCTCCCTCCTTAGGACTGGCCACCACTGTGGGCAGCGGGCCTCGGTGGGCCTCGAACTCCACCACGTGGAGCTGCTTTTTGTCGGCCAGAGTCTGGTGGGTTTCCTGCAGGTTGACGGGTGAGGACGTATGTCGGTGAGATTTAAAATTCGATGGTGGATAAAAACGAGAAAGAAATTTGACAGAGTTTTATTAACACCTCAACACCATGAGAATTGATGTAATTAATTCTTCCGCTCTTTGTCACCGAATGATTTTAAATTTATACAAAGTGAGGTGAATCACCCTTTAACAATAAAAATGAAAATCTTAATGATGCCTTTTTCCCCTATCAGCCTTCTGCAGCTGATGGTGCTGGTTTCCTGCCACTGAATGGGCTGTAAAAAGTGCTGTCAGACGGTTCAGCACCTTCAGACATCCCCTCTGCTCTCTTTCATCAGTTTAGGAGCTGGCTGAGTCAGACTGTTTCTGAAAGGGACGGGGCTGCTGTTGCACACAAGTGGCTGAACGAGATATGGATGAACTAGACTTTAATATAAAGTCAGAATGACGCATAGATGGGAAAAAGTCAATAAATCTTTTTGTCATTTCTTCACTATTCAATGTATTACTTTCAAGCAAATATCATAAAGTAAGTTGTGGTGTTACTGATAAATATGACAAACTGTTAGCAGTCAGATTTCTGATCCCACAGTGCCCTCACCTGATTGGCCAATCCGGTGAAGAGTGCCCGGGTGATGTTGAGCAGATTGACCGACCCCTCCACTTTGCAGTACAGGTCCTTGATGCCGATCAGCTTGCACAGGGTGATGACCGCCCGGTGGCAGTGCAGGCCGTACCCTGGAAGCAGACATTGCGCTCAGTGCGGGCTGCTGACAGACCCTGAGAGGAACAACCTGAACTTTCTGTGAGCCGGAGGCCATGTCGAACTGAATCGAACGCACCTTCGTTCTGTTTCTTCATGCGCAGCGTCGTCCTCTTGGACTTGGGCTCCATGTCGTGATAAACTGTTGTGAAAAAAGGCAGCAGCGTTAGACTCTCGGCCTCTGGGCCAGAGCTAGATTCTCAAAAACAACCAAAGCCATGAATAATGGAATGAGGAGAGTCTAACTGGCTTCGTGTGTTCGGGCCTTTTTCCGGTTGGAGGCTCCGGTGTTTTGTTTTGTTTTGCACCTTCTCCTCCCGCTCTCCCCCGGGTCTCCCGTTTCTCTACCTGCCCACCAGATGTCCTCCCACGTGTGAGAGTCTGGCCCTGCGGCAGCTGTGCCCGATCACTTATTCAGGCACGCTTCAGCCGGAGCCGTGTGCTGCCAGCTTCATGGCCTCGGGTTAAAATCTCATTCTCTTGTCACAGTACTCAGAAAGAAAAACTCCCTCGCCGCTGTTCCTGCGTCATTCGGACACCCAGTGTGAATTTAACACCCTGAAAGAATTCATTTAAAAAAAAAAAAAATCTTTTCTTAAGGCGATGCTCCCAAAACGCGGGGGGTGGGGTGGGGGGGGACTCTGCACAATGGGAATAAACAGTGGAGACAGAAAATAAGACGATATAGGACTTAAGACAAAAAGCATTAGGCTCTCGGGGGATGTGTGCTATTGAGAGAAGGAAGCAAGGCTTAAAAATGCAACGCACAGGCGCTGAGCTGAGTCATGGACACGGTGGAACCGAACATTCGCTGTGACTCCAGGGGGTCCCACTTCAGCAAAATGTTAAAGTCAGAGCAGAAAGCGCAGCTGAAAAATTCCCCACGACAAGAGCTGAGAATCTACTGCCTCTAACTAACGAGGAGCGGCTCACGATGATTATTCATCTCCGCAAAAAAACCAACGAAAGCAAACTGATCTCTGAACCGGCAGCTGGGCTGAACTGTGTCACTGGTTCTGGTTTGCATAAAAAGAGGAGAGCCGCAAATGTGACAGAGGGAGTGAACATGATTTAGATGCTATGGATGTTGAAATATGGCTGTTAGAGTGAGACGATAAAGCAAACGACTCACACAAACAAGTTGCAGATGGCTGCACAGAGACAGCTGAACCTACAAAAATGAAGCGTACCCCCACTCTGAATCAAGCACACACACACACACACTCACAAACACACACACTCACTCACACACGTCTCCTGTCTGGTTTCAGGCCAGACCGGGAAGCTAACTTTCTCCTCCGGTCGGCGCAGCGGAGGCCGATGACTCACTCGCATTAGTCTTTACAGCAAAAAAAAAAAAAAGGTGCGTTTTAAGTCCCATTCATTTCTTCTCGGGGCCATTTTTCAGATGACATCAACTGTGGGATCAGGAGCAGGTGACAGCAGAGGAGAGGAGGAGGAGGGGATCAGGGAGTGGAGGCACAATGATGTAAAGTGGGAGGGCAGCTTTTTGGGAGGATGAAGGGCCATTCAATTTATCTCCAAAGTAAAACTGTAACCTGTCTGATTTGGATCGGCACTGGACGTAAACCTGAATCTAACTCTGCATTCCAGTCATAAGCATCCAAACACAGGTTGTAAATGGGGCTTACTGTGCTACATACAGTACATACATACGTATACATACGTACATAAATACATACATAGCAGATGTGCAAATATCTCACTTCATAATTGGTTATGTAGTTTCTCTCTTAATGAAAATATTTACAAAACCTATTAAATATTAATAATAAACTATAAACCCATTAAGACCTAAACACAAAGACAATATATTTCACTCAGTCACCTCAGGACTGAAAGAGAAATGAATACATATTGTAGGATGTTTTTACTATCCTGAATATAAGAAATAAATATTATCAATGAAAATAACTACTCAGCTCGGCATTTATTTTAGACAAATACTGTACATTGAGTATTATGTTCGGATGAAGACCAGTGGTCCTTAGATAAATACAGCTGTTTAGGGAACACATTACCACACAGGAACATTAGGGCTCAGAAAGGATGAGAAAAAAAACAGATGAATGAGTGGTGGCAATAGGAGAAACTTACTGGTGGTGTTGTTGTAACGTTCTATGTAGTACAAGTAGTGGATGGCTCGGTTCTTGGCCTGCAGATCCCACAACGCATTTCATTATCACAGGGGTTCATCCGAGGAAAGCAAAAAAAAAAACAGAACCAGGGATCCTGCCACATTTAGCTTTCCTTCATTAAGCAGGACGGACATAAAACAGTGGCCCCTCACCTTCCTCAGAGCTGTGTTTCTGTCCGCTGCCTTACCCAAAGCGAAGCCTGGTGGGAGGGAGGAGCGCACGTTTAGAAAGCCATCGGACAGCACGGTGAGAAACTGTAGACTTTAAAGCGTTATCTGCAGGTAAATGGACCGAACTGTGACGACTGGCGGCAGAAATCACAGCTCTCAGTGTCGTTATGTCTCCCAGCTAATGAGGATTGATCTGTTTTAAAACACAGCCTCATTCAGAAGAGGCTGAAGCACACTCAGGAGTACGACACTCACGTCTACACAAACCTTAAGAGAAAAAGGCTATGTTTAGCTGACGGTTAAAACTTTGCTGATCGGCGATTTTCTGCCGCCTTTGCGCTTTACAGGAGAAAAAGATTCAAACCTGCGGCTCCGTTGCCGTTTCCCACGGCGACCAAGCAGCTGATGGACCTTTTCCTGCCCTCCTTGGCAGTCATGTTGAACACACTCTTCACCTGAAGAAGCAGAATCACACACCGTGAGCGTAACACTGTCTAGTGTGTAGAAAAAAACTAAAACAAACAGAATGCAAAATCATTCACAGCTTGTTCAGTGGGACAACAAATCACACAGAGAAACACAGAGGGCCCACTCTCAATTTGATGCTTCAAGGTCAAGTGGTCGGTTATAAAATGATACTAACCTAATTAAATTCAACTTTGATGATTATTCTTCCTTGCAGAAATTAATAAAAAAAAAAAGAAAAACTATTCTGATTTGTCAGAAGTGACAAAAAATACATCAATGTGTTTCTTACAGATCTGCAGTGTGTGTGTGTGTGTGTGTGTGTGTGTGTGTGTGTGTGTGTGTGTCTTCTTCAGTTTAATTTTTTACAAACAGAAACACCAGGGGGCAGCATAGACACACCACAGAAACCAGGAAGGAGAGAGAGAAGAAAACAGAGGAGTTGGAAAGGAGAAAGGATAGAATAAATGAGATGTCATGAGAAATAGGAAAGAAAGAGCTCATGTTAGGGGTGGAAGAGGGAACAAAAGAAGAGAAGGGGAAAACACATGTCCGTTTACAGAACATAAGACAACATAAAACATAAGACGGTCAAAAAAAGTAAAGAAAAGGGAGAAAAAAAGGGATGGTGAGGGCGAGAGCTCTCTGCCTTTTCAGCGTGCTAATGGTTGACTTCAGGGGGATGAAATATGTGTGAGCCTGCAAAAATGCAAATGAAACTAAATGGGGAAAAAGAGCCCGTAGGGTGTGTGTGGATATGAAGTTTGTGTCTGTATGTGGTGCCCCAGAAACAGAGGAGCCAACTGCTGATTAAAAAAAAAGAAAAAGAAAATCCGAACTGCACATAAAAAATAAAAAAAAACTAAGGCCAACATGTTTATCCACAGAGTGGACGGAGCTGCTCCCCGCCGTAAAGCGATGCTTTAAACACACGCACTTACACAGCAGCTCATTAAGGCCAGTTCATTCAGATTATTAGAGCATCGGTTGGAAACTGCGTCTTCACGTTTTAGATTTAGAGAATTGTACCCTTGTTGTAGACATCTGGGATCGCAAGCAGATTTGAGCTTCTGGGTGCATTTTATTCCCATGAACTGTAGAGGAAAAGGTTGTCATGACTCGGTGGCTTAGGGAGGGTTAACCTGTCGCTGGGGAGGAGGCATGCCGTTTGGTTTACTGGAGCTTTTTGGCTCAAAGCAACAAGGTGACGCTACAAATGCAGAAACAATTATCTGTTGGCTCATCACAAGCACCACCGATCCCCCGCAGAGTCAATATATTGACCGTTCGCGCTTTAAGCAGAAAGCAGATTTAAGGTAAGGGATATTGAGTTTTTGATATTGATTGGAGGACACTAATCATACACACAGAGGACACACACACACACACACACACACATACAATTGAATCTGAGTTAATAAAATGGCTCTGAGCTGACAATGATTTACATATTTGTGGTGCTACTGCACGCATGCAGTGCCTCACGGTCCCACTTTATCCTTCTGTAGTTTTCTTTTATTTGAAATGAGTAATAACGCAGGATGCTGTTTTGAAGGGTATCAAAGTTGCATCATCGAAGATAGAAACAAAGAATTGTGGTTGGAATCAAAGTGAGGAAACTGTGCAGCGCTCATTAATAAAACAAAACCTTCGATAGCGTTCGATGTAATAAATCCATGAAATATTTATCCGTTTTGCTGTGAAGCCAAAGGGTATTTTTGTTTGGTGGCATATATTAAAGCTTCGAATGAGAAAAATGCGCATGATAATTATTCTGAGCAAATGATAAGTGAATGGGACAGTTTATCTATCATACTAATTATTTTGACTATTTTTCCGCTGAAGTTTTTAAAATGGTTTCTTCAACAAAATATACATCAACAATATAAATGAGAATACCATTTTATGTGGTTAAATACCATACAAGCAAATCCACTGATTAAGCACTGATTTAAAATCAGAATTTATTTCCTGGTATTTTATCACATACAGGGAAAAGTCCTAAGCAGATTACCCTGACTGGTGTTGAGCTCAGATCAGTGGCGCAGTGAAAGGGGCAAGAAAACCCCCTCAAAAGGGAGGCCCTCATAAAGAAAGAAAATCTATCCAAAAAAGATTGTTTCCAGAGGAGCATCTCCCTGCTGTCCACTGTTTTAGAAGCGGGATATTCAACTCTGAAGGGAGCTGCTACCAGCCCCTGGAGAGGAAATCCATTTGAGAATCTAGTTTTCTGACAGACCATGGTGAACCGAAAAGAGCCAAAGGAGAGATGGCGGGAAAAAAAAAACAAAAAAAAAATTTGCCAGTGCACTTTGTGTCTGTTTCTATCTGTTTTGTTGTTTGTCTCTGAGAGCACCTCGAACATGGACCGCCAGAGGCCTTTCAGAGGGGCTTATCAGGGCCACAAATTCCGGTTTGTTCTGACGCTTTCATCCCCGTCTGAGAGCCGGAGCAGCGGAGCGGCGCTGAATTTCATGAGAGGAAACTTCAAAGTCTAGATCTGCCCTCAGCTTCAGCACTTACGCAACAAACACATTTTTAGTTAAGAGTTTATAATCTGACTGCGGGGCTGCAGAAGGATTGGGGTCAGGAAGGCAGCAAAGACCGGGGTCTTAAGAGAAAACGCCAGAAAAGACACATAAGTTCCCGATTTTTGCTCATTTACATAAATCCACAGTCCCTAATACTGCTAATAGTATTTAAAGTAGTCATTTCTGCGTGTTTTATGCAAAGAAAACGATTCCTATAAAGGGTCTGAGGCTAAATTTTGTGTCTGCAGGCCTGTGCAAAAGAGCTAGAAGTATCTTCTTTCTTGCTGTCAGGTTTGCAGAGTGTGGCTGAGAAAAAAAAAGGGAGCTTCAGACCAGCGGGCGTCACAAAATTCAGCGAGGCATTAGTTCTCATGTGTCAGCGAGGCTTGTGGCTGCTGCTGCAGAGCCTCCGGCTGCTTTTGTCAGTCAGGTGAGGATGCGGCGGCAGAGCAGATGGCGCCCGTTTCTCTCTCTGTCGGCCGGGCGACAGAACGGCGGTGGGAGGATGCTTCTAGCGTCGCTCGCGCCTCTGTCGGATCTGTTATTTTTTCCTCAATCTGTTGCCGCGCGCTCCCTGTCCGTACGTGTCTATCTGCTGCGGTGCAGGGGAGGAGTTCTCACCACATGGAACCAGACGGCCCGGTGCGAGCTCACAACGCTGCCAGGGCCCCGAGATTGTCAAGTTTTCTTCACTGCAGAAACGCTGAACAGTGTCCTGCAATCCTTTAAGAAATAGTCCACTTGTTTGCCGGCAATTTGCAGCATTTCCTTCACCGCTGAGCTGATTCCCACAGCTACGGGCTCTTACATAATTCCTGTGTTCAGTGTGAGAGTTAAAAGGCCAATTGAAAACACAATCCTGGTTTTTGAGTGCGACATTCACATTAATTGCTTTGGTGTGTCATTTTTCAAATCTTTAATGTTACTGAAATTCTTACATTTCATCCACTGTGTGCTGGGACTAAAAAGAGAGAGTCCATATTCAGTTAACTCCAATAGGAAGAACAAGCTGTAATCTAGAGGTTTCCACTCAAAGTTAATGTAAAAATGTGCAAAATGTCCAGCAAACTCATCTGGAGCTCATCAGATGGCAGCAGTAGATTACAAACTGCCGTCTCCTAAGTAAAAAAAAAAAAGAAAAAGTTTCCAACCCAGTTACTGTGCTATGTCTGCAAATTCACCCAGTGCTGTACGGTGATTCATTAAACACCCGAAAGCCAAAAGACAACACACCTGGCAACAACTTTGACTACATCAGCTGCATGACGCCTTTCCTCCCGCACGACCACATGACAAACAAACTGGCCCGTTTTGTTATTTGTGAGAGCTCGGATGGGCTCGTGGCGTTTTCCCCATCGCCAGGCTCTTTTTTCTTCCATATCATGACATCATTCTGCATCGGGCGTGCTTAGCGGGCCAAAGCTCAGATGCATGTCAGTAAAATGGCGGCCACGCTCGTGCAGAGCGTGTTCGATCCTTTGGGATTCTTAGAGAAAGGGTTGATAGCATCAGTTCGTCATTTGTAAGTGTACGCTGTAACATCGTCTTCGGTTTGAACGCGTGGTCTTTTATACATGAGCCCACTGGTGACCTGTTTAAACCAATTCCAGGAACAGATTTCCATTTTAAATCTGTGCCACCGGCCATGAGATGGCTGAGAGTTCAGCACTGGTTCACCAACAAGGAAACATCTGTTTGCTCCACTTCGGGGGGAAAAAAAATAAATCACAGTTAATCTGGGATGTTTACGTTTAAATAATGTTCTTTACCTAGTGTTGCCAGTTATAATTATATCTGTGTATTACGACAAGCTGTTATCCAAAGAAAGCTTGTTAGTAGGAAAACAACAGCCTGTATCTGCCAGTAAAATGAGTCTTTTGTTTCAGATTGTTTGGCTAAACGAGGAGAATGTATAAGTAGAAATATATTTACATATGAAATCAAGAATTACAGGTAGAATTTGCATTCATTCCTGTCTTTAGTGAGTAACTGTATAAATATTTAGTTTTTATTTTATGATGTACGCGGTATCTTTAATAAATTTGATGTTCCTGAAAAGCAAGCCAACAGCACCCATCTGGATGTGTGTTCAGATCATAAAACGTTATTTAGGGCTCTAAATTTCAAACAGGCTTCTTCTATATCAGCTTTTTTTAACGACCTAACATTAACTTAAACAATTGTTTCAAAGTTCAACTCAAAGTGTTTATTTTCAAATGAATTAATAATTAGAACATGTTTGAACATGTTCTAATTATTCATTATTCAATTTTAAAATACTTCTGTATTAAACAGTATACATAATTCCCCAACTTCCTGATCTACTCCCATTTCCCAGAAGGATAATCATCTTTTAAACTTGTGAACACAGACGAAAGCTAAACTTTTAGGAGTTTTCTTATCATGGGTAAAAGGATTCGCCTCATCATCACAAAAACCTTTCAGCCTACTTAAAGGTGCTGTTCCGGCCTCCGCTTGGCTGCTTAAAGTTGTCTAATCCAATTCAAAGTTCTTCCTCCGGTTTGCCGTCTGCTCGCTCTCAACAAAACTTTCAAGGTTGTTGACTTCGGGAGAGAAGAGAGGGAAAAAAAAAAGAAAGGAATAAAAGCGCGGTGGTGACACTGACAGCTCTCCATCTCTGTTAATGAAATCCCTGAGTACTGTCCAGGCTGCTCCAGTTAAGCTGGATGGAAAGTGGCTCGCATTTGGTTGAACTGAGCATTGTGGTGTGCACCGCGAGCCTTCGCGTACCTTCAGCTTTTTCTCAGCGCTTTTTAATTAACAGCTGGAGAGAAGGCAGTCACAAAGCGGTGTTTAAAAGCAGCTGGAAGAGGCCGAGGGGCCACCACAGTGTGACTGCATCAACACAACATCGATTCAATCCTTGTGTGCGCGCGGGAGGCGACGGAAAAAAAAAAGCTAGAAACCTCCTGCCGAAACCAGACTCAGGCAGAGCAACCATCTGCTTCGACCGGCCGGGGGTTGTGAGGATGAGAAACAGGGGTCAGGTGGATTTTAATTACAAAAACCGTCACATTTCTAAACGATTAAATCGGCATTAAAAGTAATCTCCAGTGTATGTTTCTACCAACGAGAATGTGACACTCTTCACAACCTCTCGGTTGTGTTTGTGCCTCCTTGTTCAGTTTTCTCTGCTGTTGGAAAAAAGAAGAAGAGCAGCCGCTGTCTGTTCTTTTCCCTTTTTTCTCTTCTTGGTGTTTCGGCCTCTTTGTGCTGGAACTGATTGCTGTCAGCGATTTCTATAAATCAGCATTCGCTCTGAGCCGAGCAGCATCCCCGACAACCATGCGCTGGCAGGTTTTTTGGAGGACAGCTCAAAAGTCTGCACAAAGCCCCTCACTTTGCAGGAGAGGAGGAGGGGGGGGGGGGGGGGGGGGGGGGGAGGAGGAATGAGGAAAGCAGATGTTTGTGCGCTGCCATAAATGAGCCATAAATCGACAAAAACAGACCTTCACTCGCAGCTGCAGACGAGGCGCACCCAAACAGCAAATGCAAACTCCGGCACGAGGAGATGGACGGTGCTCGTATTTTTACAACTTTTCCAAAGGTATTTGGTATTAACGAGTGAGATTCGGGTGTATTTGCTGCATGCCTCGCACTGCTCGATGCTCTGGGAACTAAATAAAACACCTCGTTGGTTACCACGACTAGATTTTTTCTTTTCTAATTTCCAAATCTTGGCTCCCATCTGAAAATGAAGCGATACACAGATTACTTTCTGTGGTGTCATCTTCCCATTTCCCAACTCCTCTTTACAACTTTGGCTCCACTTCTCACTTTGTCTTTAGCTCTTTCTCCCTCTCGCTCCCCTCCCTCTGGCTGTGCTCGCTAATGCAGCCGCAACGTCCTTGGGAGACAAGCCTTTTATTCCAGTAAGCCTCTTCCATTTCATTAGGCCTGAATTTATAGCAGAAACACACACACACACACACACCGGGTGTATTTATAGAAGGCGATGGCACCATAAACGTGTCTGTCGGTTTCCAGGGGGGAAGTCTAATGTCTGTGGCACCACTCTTATTTATGCAGGCAGGAGTGCTGGGGAAGACTACCAATGTGACACACACACACACACACACACACACACACACACACACACACACACACACACACACACACTTTAAACTATCATGTGCTTGTTGAACAGACAATAAACACATGTGGAGCCGGCAGAGTGGGAATTCATTACCGAGTTTAAAAAAAATTGTACGGAGGAGGCACAAACATGAAATATGAATGTGGGCTGCAGATAAACTGGAGTTAAACGAAAATGCCGAGTCATGAATAATGCTCGGGCTTTCCGTGTGCTGATCTCCTCGCATGATAATGTGCTCCGGAGACAAAAAGAGAGAGAGTGGGACGCAAGCATTGGGGTGCTGTGCCCGGATCATGTGTGTGCATGTGACCTTGCCGCACCCCCTCCATTAGTCCACCACGGCCCATTAGTGCTAATTGGATTAAGGTGAGATACGGCAAACCGTCTAAATGAACTGTCCATACAAAGTATCTTATCTCTTCTTCACACGCTCACAGAGCGGCTTCAGTCTTTTTTCCCCGTTTCTCCGCAGCAGTCTGTCCAACGACTGAGTGGCTACGAAACCGCAATGTTTCAGCTGGTAGACGGCGACATGAAAACGCTTTTACCAGTTTAGCTTTTTTGGTATTTCAATAAACCCATTAAGAGGTTTTTAATGGACCCCTGCTGACATAACTACGATAGCTGATTCACTTATTAAGCACAGGGGTTGTTTTTCTTGGATTGGTGGCGACCCTACAAAAGATTTGGATGTGTCGGGGAGGGGAATTAACACTTCTATAAACTTATAAACCATAAACTTATTAGTTTGATTTAAAACAAGTATTCTTCTATTCTTCTTCACTCTGTCCTCCAAACCTCCACGAACAGGATGTCTTGATAACGCGGAGGAGGCATCGACGTTCCTTTAATGTGCACAGATGTTTGGACTCAGCAGGGTTCTCACCCGGGGACTGACCAGAGCGCAGAGCTCTGAGGTGCCAACATCTCTGTGACTTCTAACTAAACAGAAAAACAACACCATCCATAGCTAGGTGACAGTGACAAAAAGCGGAATAAACTCTTCCATGACATAACCTCACACCTCTGTCCTGTGGGAACCAAATCCTTCCCGTCAGTTAGTCGTGCTACAATAATTGTCCAGTAAAGTGCTCTGACAGCTCCCACAGAAGCTCGCTTTTTACAGAAAAGAGGAGTTCGGCAACACCACCCTTCATGTGGAAATGAAACGCTGCGATTCTCATTTATTCTCATGTGGAATGTTTTTGTTTCCCTTAAACTTGCTTTGTGACTCAGATCAGAATTTTCTGAGAAACGAAGCCTGATCCCAGCTGCTGCTTTTCATCTAACTGTTGCCGTTTGATTAAAAAACTTTCCACGTCAAAACTTCGGAAACTTTCATGTGGTGGGCTTGCAGGTTTAATTTGCTCTCTTTGTACTCGGGGGGACCTAATGGGACTCAGGAATTAGAGCTCTTTTGTACCGAATGAAATCATTTTTAATCAAATCATTCTTCCTGTTCGTATTAAGTGGATCATGTCGGCCGATGACAAATAGTTCGAGGAACACAAAAAACTCAATTTCTCTGAGCTCCTGCAGAACAGCTTCCCGCCCTTTGGGAACGGCTGCAGCTTTACCCGGTTCAATACCGTTTAGTCAGAGCACGGCACGGAAATCAAACACTAAGCCGGCAGCTCGGACTCCCCGGCACACTTTTCCCCTCATCAGTGGCGTGATTGTTTCCATTCTAATTGCACAGACCGATAAGATCAGGCAGGATGTTTCATTTTAACCTTTAAATGACATCATAATGAGCGTATAAGGTTGGACAGAGAGAGCTGTGACAGGCCCTGATAAATCAGCCCTGATAATCAGTTAAAAGATAAGAGGTGAAAAGGTTTCATTTCAGACAGAAAGCTACTTTCTAATTTAATCTACAGAGATGACAAATCGTTTTTTAAACTATTTTTGGTTGGAAATACTGTGGCTGAGGCTTGCAGACAGACGTTTGTGCAGATCCGGGACTTATTTAGGCACAGGAAGGGGGAAGCTTACCTCGATGACGCGCGAGTCGAAGCCCTCGTAGGTTTCTGTTGACAGAAAAAAAGTTGGAATGAGTACAGAAAAGCCTCGCAACGCAAACACGGCTGGACTCAGACACACGTGTGTACGCGAAGCACAGACAGATTAAATCGTAACAAACACCCCGAGGCCCTGGCGGCAAAGTCACGAGTCGGCGCTTTTCATTGTCAGTGACCTCTGAAGGATGTCCTGCTCGCTTCAAACCAATCCCAAACAAACATCAGCAGGGCTGAGGCAGAGGCTGCGAGGAGAACGGAGGCCAGCCTCAGCTGGGATATTAACAAACCATCTGTACCAAAGCTAACCTGATCAGAGACCAGCTGGGCTCCGGCTCTCCGCGCATCACACTCACAGCGTGCTCGTTTGAGTGAGCGAGAAGGGCAGATTACGTCTAGACTAACGTGTTCGAGAGCGCACATCATGGTCTAATGAGAGCGTCGGGGACGGACAAGACGGGTGGCCAATGAGAGGAAAACCCGAGGGAGTGAAGGAGCGAACACAAAAGCCCCCGTCCCTCATCCCGCCGCCGTCTGAGGTAAACGAGCTCAGCTCAATCCCGGCAAAGAGCTGGGTTTAAGGCGTAATGAGGCCGGGAAGAGGAGCCCGGATGCGGCCTCCGTCGGTGAATCAGATGCAGTTAGCTTGCGGGGCTCCCGGTTTGTTGTACAGAGCATGTTTCAGCGCCGGGGGGCTTCACAGGCGGCTCAAAATACATCATTACATTTAACCTTCCACCCAGAGTCAGGCTGCGAAGCCCCTCCAGTCAGAGGAGGCTGGACGGACCGTATGGAAACGAGAAACTTCCACCATCACTCAAACGTGACCTTTTCAAAGCCTACATTACGGGCCTCAATGGAGCCTTAAAAGAATTACGCTGCAGCAGGTCTCTGCTGTCCCTGAAGGGCACTCTGTGATGATGCCAGCAGCCAAATGTAAAGCACATTATGCAGTTTTCTATTCTACTCCACACATTTGACATTTTTATTACTGTTCCTCTTTTTTTATCATTAAATATAAAAATGTGTAAAAGAAAAAGTTAATATACTGAATCGGAATAATAAGAAAGAGTAAAGACATAATTAATAGAGCTAATAATGGCAGCTTTCCATTTAAGATCGCCTGAGCTCCGCTGACTCAATATAAAAATAACGTAACTCTGCTCTTTATTGGATGGAGCGCTTATGCAAATTCCCTGTTTGTGCTTTGATTTACTCATCGGCTTCATTCGCTTAAGCAATACATTCCTTCTAATGGGCGCAAGTACACATAGTTTATAACTGGAACATCAGGGCAAAACAGCAACATAATTAACCTGAGAAATGGACACACCAAATCATCATAACTTCTTTATAATCTGCAGGATGAATAGATAAATGCCGTGCATGTGTTTGTGCAGGCCACTGACTTTGTCCATGCAGGAAGACTGCCAGAAAGGGGCTTCACCAATAAAGTTATTTAAAACATAAACTTTAGGCTTCTCTTCGGAGCTTTGGCTTTTCCCTTAATGAGCATTCCAGATGAAACAGTATCTGCAAAATCATCAGTCAATTTCAAAATGATTCAAAATCATTAGGATCTCGGCATAAATCCCAAACTTCCATCATCCTCTGCTACATGAGTCTACATATGATGGAGATACCATGTGATCATTGATGTTATCAGCCCTAAACAGAAAAATATTAGAGATGGAGGATATAATTTAGGGGGGAAATGAGCAAAATAAAGGGAAATAAAGTTGAGGGAGAAAGACGAGTAGTGCGTGAAAAGCAACAAAAAAACAAAAAGTACAAAAGTGGAAAGAAAGACAGCAAAATCCTTCTAAATAAGGAAATTCTGCCACTTGACACTTTCATTAGAACCTCATCTTCATCAGCACTAACGGGCTCCCATACTGATCCGTCACTCTTCCTCTCCCACACGCAGCAACGAACCCCCTTTACTCCTCCACCGCTTCAGCTATCGCGACAGTCATCGTTACGTCCTACTAAAGCCTTTAGTGCAGTGGCCTGTGAGGGAGCTGTGCCTCCCAGGCCTGCTCTGTCATGATCTATACTCATAGTTGATCCTCCAGGTCTGCACCAAGGCCAGATTCATATTTCTGCTTCTGGGTTTTTTCTGGCTCTTGTCCAGGATTAATTAAAGCAGAGGTCACCTGGTCAGTATGTTTCACATGAGGCTGGTCTCAAGGCTGTTTCTGGTTGCCCTTTTTAAAGAAAGCGATATCACCTCATATTAGAACATATCAGTCACATTGTTCTTTAGATCAGCAGATTCCTTTACCTCCGTTGGGTCCTGGATCGGGGGGGCCCAGGCTGGTGCCACCCCAGGAGTTCCCTGTCCAACCTCTCTCCCTCTTCACCTTCATCTTCCTCCTCTTCTCCCACTCATCCCTTTGACGCACTGCAGAAAGACACAGCCAGAAAACAGCGGATTTTCGTGAGCCCGGCCAATCAAAGGGGGCTCTTTTTGTTGTCAAATCAAGCGTGTAATTACTATTAACAATTCGGACCACAGCAGGGACAAATTGGCAGCTTCTCACACCGGTGGTGCTTCCGTTTATCAAAATTAAGACCTCGTTTGCCCCGCTGTTTCCCCCCCCCCCCCTGACAGTTTGCAGAAAGGTAATTCCTTTTCCAGTGAATGATTGCTGGCTTGGCTTCAGCTTGAGGACGTTTGGCTGACAGCTGTCGTATCTGATCACAGCGTTTTGGGGCCAGAATCGGTGCAATCCAGATAAGAGCCTCCGTGCGGGATGTCTGTACCCAGTTCTGCTTGGACCTCCTGCTGCTCGGCCTCGCCTCTTCGGCTCATGCTCTGCAGGGCACCTTCTTTCAGCACCGGCGCGTTCAGACCGGGCCACAGGAAACCGCCGCGGCCTGCAGGACAAAGACACAAGCAGGAGACGAGTTACGAACCGCCGTCAAATAAATACTCCACCACAGACTCACTGCATCTACGTGCAAAGCCGAAGCAGAGACAAAGAACACATAATCGTGTTATAACAGACCTCTAAGACACATAACATCTCTGCTGTTTTTATATCATCGTCTTAACTAAATTTGGCAGCTGATTTTTCCTGATCGGTTGGAGCTCATACAATGCGAGCCGTTTCAGAATCTTTCACTAAATCTTGCCCCTGCTTTTTTCCCCTCCGTTCCTTTGATGACGATGATGATCTCATTGATCGGTCTGGGCTTTGGCTGTGTGCTTGACGGCCATTTCACATAATGCGCTTTGACACCGCTACTCCATTCTCTATTGACATTTTGAAGCCGCATTTGAATGATTTAAGACTTTCTACCGGCAAGAATGGAGAAGCAGGAAGGTGAGACAGGAAAGTTATTACCTGTTAAAAGTGAAAGCAATTGAGAAGAAAATGGGGTGTGAGACCAAAAAGGAGGAAAAAGTGGATGAAGAGACTAGAAAATAGGGAAGAGACTCCCAATAGGATGAAGCCATCTCTATAACAAATCGTGCAGTGAATTCATCAACGCTTTGAGCTGTGAATATTCTGGCGTGTGAAGTCCATCTGCTTTTTATTAACTGTAGTTTAAGTTCCACGGGCATTTCAGAGCAGAGAAAACGATGCACTGAAGACAAACACAGGGCAGACCAAAAGAAGCACATGTAGGAGGTGTCCTACCTTCTCCGAGAACCTGCCCCCGATTCAAGTCTCTTTTTAATTTGCGTTTAGTTCGCTTCCCTCTTCCCTTTCTGGCTCCGGCACCGGATTCTGCCAGCACACCTCTCCACAGCTCCTCAGCTGTCACTGTGAACACACAAACACACACACCTTACAATAATTACCCACAGATAAAGAAAACAAAGACAAAAAAAGAATGGCAGCATAGACACCCGACCAGGAGCCAAAGTTTGGGAATAAAATTCAATCTTAATTTGCCAACAGATCACAGTTCAAACTAAATCTGCATAAAACAATGATTTACAGAGTTAAAATGTTCCAGGACTCTGTGTGACTCAACTAACAAACATTTTTAATTTATTTATTTTTTGTTTTTAAATCTGATTATCTCCTGTCTTGAAACACAAAAAAAAATCCCTTTTTTTCTTTGTCTCGTGTCATGAAAAACAAATTCCTGGTCAGAGGAAAATCTAAACTTAAAAAACAGAGAATAAAACAATGAAAATGTATCAATATTGAAATTCATGGCTGATTGAACTTAGTACCTAAACTCTACTGGCAGTCCCACATATTTACAACATTATGGGGCTTATAATCAGGTTCTTAACTCAACAACATTTTATACTTTTTGTTTGTCGTGCATGAGTATCTACTGCAAAGCTGCATGTTTTATCGCTAAATGTAGAGAAGTGTAACAGTTTTAAGAGTACAGGGAATCTGGCACATGTAAGGGCAGCAAATAAAAATGAACAGCAAGTGATGTATGAGGAGCACTTTGGGAGGGTAATTAACATACAATAAGATTGTGGTGTTGCTCTTAAAGTGGATACACAATGCATCTAACCTAGTTTATGACCAGCAGTATATTTAAAGATTTAGACCCAACTGGAAGTCTGTCAGAGAACTGAACGATAAAATGAATAAAGACATCCGTATATCAAGAATCGATTAAAAAAAAAACGACTTCAGGGACGAAGCGGCATGATGCAGTAAGTTGCTGAACATGCGACTTGTGGGTCAAACGTGCTGACGGGCATCAAGCCTTTCCCTGTCTGGAAAAGAGCAGAGCCCGTTTGTTTGCTCACGCTTGTTGAAGAAGCTGCCATGTCTAGTCTGCTGCCATGTTGTTGGGGGGCATAAAGGAAAGGAAGGGGGTCTCTGGAGAGATTCGGCTGAGGCTCGACTCGTCCAGTGGGACAAATGAACAGCTCCCACGACAGTCCGGAGCGATGCTGCCCCTGAAAGAGAGACATGAACCACAGGTAAACCTCAAGTATAAACACAACACTGTGTTCGTGGCACCGAAGCGACACAGCTCCTGCTGAGACACTGCTGCAGTGTGGATCAAACAAACACAGACTTTTTCATGGCTATTTTGTACCAATTCACTCAAAAACAGATACACAGGACAGAATAGGCCAATAAAAATAAGTAAATTTCTCTCTGCAATATCGCACAACACTTCAGTAGAGTTATCATAATCTTATATTTCTAGTTTTTAATATCTTGAGTGGCATTTCGTGTTCCTATTTAGGTTCACTTTCACCATGTTAAATCAAATAAATAACATTACTTTTCCAGCTCAGCTAGTAATGACTCCAGCATCAGTTTCAGGTCAATCATCGGGTAAATGACAGGAGCAGTTTTACTTGAAGCTGCTCAAAATAAGTATTAAAAGATAATGTCAAGCCTTTGTGATGGCTTATTGACAGTGATGTGAACACGTTGCTAACAATAAAACAAATAGAACTTTCCTTATTCATCTATCTTTTTTCTAAATATGCACTCCTCTTGGTTTTTGATATAGTCCAATTAAGTATAACAGTCTCGTAATAACACACAGTAAGAATTATACTTGAAATGCCGAAATCGGGCAACAGAACCATTTGGCTGAGCACTCATGTACTTGCAAGAAAAATATTAGTTTTGTAGCTAGGCTTTGGATCTGTCTTCTATTTGCCGAATGACAGACTTGGATATCTTTCACCAGCATGATCGTTGACATGATTTAAACTTTAATGTAAATGAGCTCAATCAAAGATAACGTGCACTGATCTTGAGAGGAACTCACATCCTGTAAAAAAGAAACCACTACAGCGAGTTGAGACCACTAATCGAAGTCTAAAAATGCAAATACCAAAATCGTATGTTTAATTATATGCGATTTGAGAGTCTGCTAGCACCTTAACGTTTTTGATGTTCACGACTCCCCTAATTTACACAAACTCCTACAGAGTCCGCACACACGCCTGACCGGAGCCAAACAGTCACCCTTAAGCTTAACTTCAGAGTAAATATCAACCAGAGATCACAATGCGGCAAAACAGAAGGAAAATAAATCACCTCCGATCGTTATGCGGAGGGCACTGCACACTCCTACGGACGCCGCCATGTTGGAACTGTAAGGGGTCCTTCCGAGGACAACAAGGAGACGAAAATTTGCCTGATGAGAAAGTTTACTGAAAAAAAAAAAAAATCAAATCTATTTTAAATTGATTCAAAAATGTATAATCAAGACCATCATACTACTACATTTGCAACTATAACTAGAAATAATAGAATGCAGCGTTATCATGTGAATAAAGTTTTGCCTATAATTTACTCCAGTAACTCCAGTAAATCAGTGTTGGTTTTTGGATTAAAGCTAATTTTGAGTGAAAAACAAACTAAGACAACACTGTTCAAAAAATACTTTTTAATTAAAAAAAAGCGCAAAGATATATTTAGTATATTTAAATTTTCATGTTAGTATACTTTCTCTGTGTTGTGTATAATAAGATTAGAGTGGATGCATGGAATGAACATGCTACTTTAAGATCATGAAACTTTATTTTTTACTGCAACAAGGTAAATAAGACTGGCAAATGGACACAATAAGCATATGGACCATTTTAGTATACACACTGTTTGTTCTCACATTCATGATGAGAGCTCTTGCGGTGCTTATATTCGTAAAGCGGTCTCAGAGCTTTATAAGTAGACCACCAATCAGCACCTCTTGCTTCTGGACATGATTGCTATGCAGCAGAATGACTGGTAATTATGCTTCTCAATTTCCCCTTATTCAGGACAATTTCTCTCAATATTACAACCTTTCCCCTGGACAGTTTGTAGCTGCAATCAGAGAGCTATGAAAGAAACTATGGTGTCCCAGCTGTGTGGCAGCAGGTGGGAGTTGCTTTTGAAAGAGTCAGAGGCATTTCATGTGGTAACTTTCCTCTCAAATAATTGCCCGATAATGACAGCATCATCCAGAGCATTTTCCCAGAGTGAGTCACTTCTCTTGGCTTTGTAGAGAGCAGAGGGGTGAGGAGGGCTTTTCGTTCTTTGGGTGAACACAATGCTGCTGGAGTTCATTAGAACTCAAGTCAAAGTAAAAGAAGTTGGTCTTGACTTTACAAAAATGTTAGCGAGATAGAAAATGATGGTGCTCTGGTTGCTGTTGGAATTCTCTGCGAAAATAATGTCACTACCAGGGAGGACTGGATGCTCATGTGTTACACAGACGCCAGTTTCCAGATGAGCTTTGCTAATTTAGGCCAAACACTGGTACACTTTGTTGGATTTTTGTAATCATTAAAAGCATGCTGGCAGTGATTTGTTGACATAAATTAAAGTATTTGACAGATTAGTGTTGGATGAGAAGCTATTACAGTATCACGGCTTAAAAGGCATTAAACAGAAATGTTTTGATGTTTTAAACTAAACACTTATATATA